AWMAYATTCAGAAAATGAAGATGAACACAAATCAAAGTTTCAGTTGCTATTTTAATTCCTTAAAAGAACACAACGACGATATAAACCAGGTAAATTAAACAGCTGACAACTGTTTATTTTTTTTTAGCGAAGCAAAACTCAGATTCTCCTCTAATAACAAAACGTGTCTGACAAGTGTGTGACTAATGTCAGACCAAACAAACATCCCAGAGTTGGCTAATCATTGTCTGGGTGACTGTAATGACAATCCGTTCATAAATGGGAACTGGAAAACAGGAGTCTGAGCTCTGAGGACGACAAAAACCAATTGAGTCAGTAATGTGGGGAAAAAAAATCAACTTATAAACACATCAGACAGAAACTCACAAGAAAACTCACCTTGTAGGAGTGCTGAAAGATGAAGGTGTTCCTGTATCACGAGAAAAGCAGATGATTTACTCTGCTTCAAATTTGATCTAGTGTGTGGGGATTAAAAAAAAYGTGTAGCCACACTTACTGTGTTCGAGAAGAGAGCTGTGGCTAGAAATGGAGGTGATTGATCCAGGAGTCTGATGAAACAGACAAACGTTTGTTTGTTTTCATGCAATAAACATTAAACTGAATGTACAGTTGCTGTAAATYTGATACTTACTGTGAGAGACAAACCTCTGGTCCACCTCTGGGACTCGGCTGAGCTTRCATGACTGCGAGACAAAATATTTGTTACAAGAAATTAAGATCAGGGTTCCCACACCTTGGCCAATATCAAATTCAAGGACCTTTCAAGGACTTTCCAGTACCAATTTCCTCAAAGAACCACACGCAACAGCAATTACCTACTGCTTATCGCAGAATGTTACCAATGAACAGGTTTAATATCATGTAAATTCAATGAAAAACTGAACAACATAGAAGTTGAGTCAGAAACAATGACGTCAGTTTACCGTAATCGTGCGTTATCCACCGCAACAAATGTAATTTTTTTTTATTTAATTTTATTTTATTTTTTTAAAAGGTGATGAAAATCAGTCGTGTGAATAGAGAATTTCAATCCCCAAAAAACATTCAAGGACTTTCAAGGACAAGTGTAGTTTTTGGCAGTTTTCACAAACTTTCCAGGGCCTTGAAATAGTTTTTTTAATTCACAAACTTTCAAGGATTTCAAGGACCAGTGGGAATCCTCTAAGATAAAAAAAAAATCAATCTGGACCGTGGCATGAGGCATACCTTATAGTTCTTGATCGAGGGGTAACTGGTAGAGAGAAAAACAAATTCATTTCAACCATTTAATGTAAATCTCACTTCCGGCACTAAGACCATTAAATGCAGAATAAACTGACTGAGGTTACCTGGTGAGGTAACAGCCACGGGCAGCGACACTCTCTGGGACCTGTCATTCAGAACAAATCACTGAGTAGACTGAAAAGCAGTGCGTGGCTGTTTGAGATTGTAAATATAAAGACGATTTTACCCAGTGGTTTGAAATTGTCCAGGAGAAACCTGCAGCACGTAAAGGCTGAATTAGGTATTAAAAGTCACGCAAAATCAATTTTCGTCATTTCTTCACACTTACCCTCCTCTGAGAGAGTGGCTTTTTTAACTCTGCTGTTTCTCTTTTCAGCTCCATCAGCTGCTTTTGTAATTCAGCGTTTTCTCTTTTCAGCTCAGAGATTTGCCTTCAGGAAAGGAGGTGGGAATAAAAAGTTTGGGCATTTACACAGCTAAAGCACGCTGACAGCAGATAGTGTTACCTGTAGCCCTGCTCAGTGACTTCCTTCAGACGCCTCTCCAGCTCAGAGGACTTGTTCTTAAAGTGAGTTATGACTCTGTCCTTCTGCGTCTGCTGGAAAATGGCAATCTGGGGAGCACGAAGGCATCACTGTTGAGTACTGTTTTAGTGACAGAGGAGGGCTACCAAAACTACGTGTAGCTAACACAGTTTACTGTCATTTATTACTATAGTTGTAAAATAGGGAMGCATGGAGGGGCGTGCTGAGCAGATGAAACCGACCTGGGATAAGTGTGCCATCCTCGACTGAATGAGTTTTGYAGGATCCTTGAAAAACACCTTTTCCTGTGGCTTCATCTGAAACAGAACGCTCGCTGTGTGAAATACGACCASTGGTGGTGGTAATCTGCTGGGGATACGTCAAACGTGCAAACCTCATCAGTGATGGGCAGGTAGCTGCAGCTCGCTCCACACACGATGCACTGCTCTGATGGAAAAGGAACGAGCACAGGGAGACATCGGCTGATTTAGATGTTAAATAAATTTGGGAAGAACACAGGTTAACAATGGGCACGAAACCAGTTAGTATAATGAGCACAGTGGTGTAAAAGCCATCTCACTTGGTTTAATGCAAGCCTCGCAGCAGATGTGGCCACAGCTGGACACAGCAAACTTTGACCCCGTCTTTCTGAAACACTGGTTGCAGTGGAACCAGTCCATCTTTAGTGTCTTCAGTTTCCTTTTTTGTAAAAAAATAAAATAAATAAATAAATAA